GCTTTTCAGGCATAAATCATTATTAGTAATGTAGAGGAAATGGATAAAATCTGTATACTGTGAGTTTGGGGAAAATATCTTCTCCCCAGAAAAAGTAACCTTACAGGTTAAAAAAAAAGCCACTGGGATATGTAAATAGAGACCCTCAGGCTATCAAGGACAGAATAAGCTCAACTAATTTCTACCTTGAAAGGAGGCTTCCACTCTCTTAGAGATTTCCTGCTCCACCAGGATATTCTAATAAGACTAACCCCAGAGAAATGCATCATCTCTCTGGAACAAACCTGATTTCTGGCCATTCTGGTTAATCAGCTCTCAAGGTTAGCTAGTTCTTCCCAAAAACAACTGACTTCTTGTCCTGGTTCCTCAATCTCCCAAATAAGGAAATTATCTGAACAGCCTTGTCTAACAGGCAACTTTTGTCATCAGTGATGTTGCCCTTAAAGTTGTTCAGTCATGTCCAACTTTTCAAGACCTCATGGACCACAACACACCAATGCTGTCCATGGAGTTTTCTTAGCAAGGACTGAAGGGGCTTGCCATTTCCTTCTCCAGAAGATTAAGGTCAGCTGACTTGGCCAAGGTCACACAGCTAGGAAGTGTCTGAGGCCAGATTTGAACTTAGGTCTTCCTGACTCCAGGCCCAGTGATCTATCCACTGAGCCACCTAGCTACCTCAGTGGTCCAACAACGACTTCTTCTTCTTCTTCTCCTTTGCCTTCTCCTTCTTCTTCCTCTTCTTCTTCTTCTTCTTCCTCTTCTTCCTCTTCTTCTTCTTCTTCTTCTTCTTCTTCTTCTTCTTCTTCTTCTTCTTCTTCTTCTTCTTCTTCTTTCTTCTTCTTCCCTCAACACATGTGGTCCCTCTCTGCACTCTGGGGTGTCATCCTTACATGTGGGTGTTCTGTCCACAGGAATATAATTTTTGCCACTTATATTTTGTAACATTTTGGGGTTTGGGGTTAGATTTTTCTTTATTAATTTTTATTATTTTTTAAGCTGGAACAATTTGCTTTTTGTCCTGTACAGTTTTCATTTATGATTTATTGAAATATAGCTCTGAAAACACAGGCTTTTAAAAAGCCCATTGCGTCTCAAATGAAGCTACTTGACTATGCTTTTAAACCCAAATCACTCTGGCTTTCACTCAATGGCCAGCCCAAGCCTCTATGGCTCATTGTTTAGATTTTGATGGCTTAGAATGAGTGTAAGTAACAATTGTTTTCTGTTCTGGCCAGAAACTTTGAAGGTCTTCCACTCTCAGACTGACATTTTTGTGATGGCAAATTGGGCTATCTTTTGTCTCAATTCTTACTTAACATTTAGTCATTGAATGTGTGTTGCTTCAGACAAACTGAGACCTGGGAAAGACCTTAATTTAGAAAGAACAAGGTCACCCACTGCATCTTCTCCCAGTCATCTTGACTTTTGTCTTACCACTGGACTCTGATGACTCTGGAGGAGAGAGTGAGGCCGACAACTTTGCTCCACTCTGCCTCACTTAAATCCAATTCACATACAAGTCGAAAGATCACCCTCATGATGTCACTGGTTCTCTTAGAGAAGGATGAACAATAAAACAATTCATTCCACCCTTTCCCATCTTGATGACTTTCTTTGCTCAAGCTATTGCTCCCCTCCTCCAATCTCTGACTGTCAAGGTACCTCCAAGGTTCAGCCCAGAAGCCTTTTCCCCAATGAAACTTTCCCTGACACCACCTTATAAGTAACACATTTTTTCATAGAATCTCTCCAGGTTCTTTACATTGCCCCCACTACATCCAACCTTGTAATAAGCATATATACATAAATAGATGTCATGCAGCTCTGCTTGGTCTCAACTCCATAGATCAAGATGTTCCCCACCTACTTCCCCTGCCTTCCAGCTTACTCTTATGTATTGTCTTCCTCCATTAAATGGTCTCTTTTAGGGCAGGAACTATCCTTCATTTTCTTATTTGTATCCCTAGGTCTTAGCAGAGTACCTGGCACATAGCAGGCACTTAATAGACATTTCCTGAATTTATATATGTATATACACACATGTTATATATTATATATAAATATGTTACGTTTCTATATAATTTATATATAACAGACATAATTACAACACATACATACATACATGTCATGCAGTTGTTGTCATTATTTAGTCATGTCCAACTCTTTCTGACCCCATTTGGAATTTTCTTGGCAAAGCTACTGGAGTGGTTTGCCATTTCCTTCTCCAGTTCATTTTATAGATGAGGAAATTGAGGCAAACAGGGTTAAGTGACTTGCCTAGGGTCATACAAGCTGGTAAGTATCTGAGGTCAGATTTGAACTCAAGAAGATGAGTCTTCTGACCTCAGGCCCAGCACTCTGTCCGCTATGCTACCCAGCTATCCACATACATGTTAAATCCCTCTCCATTAAGTCAATTTTAAACTCTTTGAGAATAGAGACGGTCATTTTTCACCTTTATGTTTCTAGTGCCTACTAGCTAGTATAGAGAGAGTACTAGATTTTGAATCAGGAAGACCTGAATTCACATCCTGTCTCAGACACTGGTGAGCTACAAAACTCTGCTCTGGCCCCTTAATTTCTTGGACCCTCAGATTTCTCACCTATAACATTTAATTCACAAATTGTACTGATGTCATCATAAGGCTATTGTGAGGAGAAGATGAAATAAAGTATACAAAGCACCTGGCTGACCTGAAGGTGCTATCAAATGTGAGCTATTGCCATTTATTATTATTATATGGGAAGTACTTACTAAATGTTGGATGATTTGTTACTTTCTTCTCAAAATATGTCACTTATTTATATGGTATAATTTATATACTCAGAATTGAATATATAGCTATCCATTTCTGAAATAACTTTGAGCCTCAAATTCCTCATCTATAAAATGAAGATAATAATGATACTTACCTCAAATTGCTATGAGGATCAAATGAGATAATAAATGTAAAGCATTTTGTCAACCTTAAAGCACTAAATAAATGCTATCATCATTATTATTCCTATTAAGTAAAATCTAACTTTATATTTTAATTATAAAATTGAAGGAAAACCAGTAAAAGTAACTTTTAAGTTTGTTTGGTTTTTACTTGTTAAAGACTTTTGAGAAGACACCAAACACTTTCAGGTTTTACATAATATAAATCTTCAAACCAGAATTCTCACAAAGAAAAGAGAAGAAACCATAATCTCTGTATCCAGGGATATAGATTTAAATGAGGAATAAGAAGAGAGCAGGAATTGAGAGTTGAGAGAGATCTCAAAAGAGATTAAGGTTGGATCTGAACACCTCTAAAGAATCCAATAGGACAAACTGATGCCATGCCACACAGTTGTCCCTGAAACTCTGTGAGGTGATAGCTTCATTGAAGCTATAGGTTATGTCTGATCTACAACACATCTCCCAAGAACATTAATCCCACAACCAGACAGTAAAAGGTTGGAATATTGCTGTGGTGTAGGAAATGATGAGTTGGTGGACTTGGAAAAACATAGAAATCCTTGGACTTATGAAGGAAGACATTATTCACCCTCAGAGAAACAAAGGACAAATAAGTCTTACATAAATGCATATGAATATATGTGTCTATATGTAACTATGATTATAGATATCTAAATATATGCATGTGTGAGTATTGTATATACAGGTATATGTATGAAATGTATATTTTTGTGTATATATGTATATATGTGTGTGTTGTATATACATGTATATGTGTGTATACACACACACACATATATACACACATATATATCCATGCTTAGTTGGGGGGGAGGGGAAAAAAGAACAAAGTAAAAAGTGAATAGCAGAGAGCAAAAGAAAACTTACAAGGAGGCAGAGAAAAGATGGACAGCTCTCAACACAATGTGTAATATTTTTTATATAGGTTTTCTTGAAATGGAAATTTATTGCTGTATATTTTGAATCCTCGTTCACATTCTGCTGTGCACATGGCAATGCTTTTTTTTCTTTTGCTATTTTGTATTATTTTAGTTTTAGTATTTAAGTTTGTTTCTTTTTTCTTATTTTGTACATAAGTTTAAACTTTAAAAAATAAATATTTTTTAAATTTAAAAAAGAACATTAATCCCTGTTTTACAATTTTATAATCTACTTCTATTCTTTAATGTTTAGAAATGCTAACAAACTGATCAAGTTAAAAGTATATCTCTGAGGAATTGTTTTTGTATAGTAAAATCATTGGGAAGAAGTGTCTAAAGTGATAGAAAGCCTTTTTCACAGTGCCTTGCACATAATAATCTTGTCATCTGCCCTGCTGCTACTCCTCCGCACCTTGATTCCTCCAGACCCTGGACCTCCACAGACAATCCCCCTCCTCTTCCCTGGAGGTGCCAAGCCACTCAGTTTTAGAACTCTATTCCAGGGCAGACCTATCCTAACTGGTGAGTGAGCACAAATTCACTTCACCTTCTCTATACAGACCACCATCCTGTCACTGAGTACGTGACCCTTCTTTTTCTTCTTCAAAAGTAATTAAATCAATCTTGCCATTGCTTCTGGAAAATGCATGACAATCAACTACCCTGTGGCTCAACTCACCATTCCTGGGAGTCTCCAAATCAAAGGTCCCTTCCCTGGCCATCACTCCTCCATTCAAGGTAATAGCTGGGATAAGCTTCTTGGAGGAACTCCTATATTTGTATCTCCCACGCCTAACTACAGTGCCTGGTATATGGCTGATATTTAAAAAATGCTATTTCATTCATTCATTCATTCATTCATTCATTCATTCATTCATTCCCAATAGGCATTTAATAAATGATTATTGAACCGAATATAATGGCTCCAAATATAGTTCTAAAAATGCCTAAACATTGTCCTTGACAAATTATAACATGTCAGCATGTAGTATAGAGTTCAATACTTCGTCAGTACAGTCCCTAAAGATGCATTTTTCCTGAATCTGCTAACAAATGTGAGTGTTTTGAAGAGATATTCAAGCTATGACATCATAATACAAATGTCTCATACTTACCCGAGAGAATTCAAGCCACCTATATTGAAAACGTCTGCTAAGGTTTAAAATTCTTGAATAAACCATTCTCCACACCAAATAGTTGGCAATGGTCCTGTTAAATACAAAAGAGACAGAAACACATGAGTTGTACTTTAACTCAGGGCTGGATGTTCTACAGACCACCCCAGAAATCCTTCCTGGAAAAGCTCCACCAGGTTTCTTAATACAAGGATACAGAACTTTCACTTGAGGGATTAAAGTGTTTTTAAACAGTTCAAACTCAATAAATGAAGCAAATAAACAAACAAATAGTCCAGTCCTGGAATGATTTCCCTCATTTAGCTTCTTTGGATACTTTTGTGAACCTATTGGTCTGGGTTATAGGATTGAAAATGAAGATAATTAGCCTACAATCAGGGCTCAGGATGCTGTTTCCTGAGGGCAGAAGTTATAGACCTCCTCTTTGGATAGGGTTTTTTATATATATACACACACATACATATATATACACTTATACACCCATATATATACATACACACATGACACACATATACATATATGTGTGTATGTATATGTGTATATATATAATATTATATATAGTTTGATCCTGTATAGATTTTTTTATACCTGGTTGATTATATTTTGGCTCCCCATTGGACTGTAAGTTCCCAGAGGGCAGGGACTGTCTTCTGTCTTTCTTTGTATCTCTAGCTCCAACAAATGTGAGTATTTTGAAAGGATATTCAACCTATGACATCATAATATAAATTTCTTATACTTACCAGAGAGAATTTAAGCACACTGCATGGAACCTAATAGGACTAATAAATGTTGGTTGACTGACTAACTGACAATATCCAACATATATTTTTGGACATGGACAATGTGGGGATTTATTTTGCTTAAGTAGGTATATTTCTTTGAAGGGTTTTGTTTTGTTTTGTTTCTTTTTTTCTTTTCACTGGGGATGGGGAGTAGGAGGGAGAGAAAATGATAATTGGAAAAGTAAAATAAATTAAAATTTGGGAAGGACTGTATTTAAGAATCACAAGTTGTCAAACAGACCACTAGATCTAGCACACAGTCTTTAAAAAAAAGTCTACTTCTGCTTAATAGCAGTCGTGTGACCATGGGCAAGGCATTTTTCAGTGCCCCCGAGAGTTTTCTAAGACTCTAAGTTATAGAGGAGTTGCTGGTCTGCAGCAGGGTAGGGAGATCTCAGCCTGACAAAAGTCACAATCCAGACTTAAAAATCACAAAGTAAAGCACTATCCTGAGAGCTGGGGTTTACAAAAACAAAATCATTCTTGTCCTCAAGGAGTTTTGACTCCACGGGGTGGGGAAGAGCTATAATGTGCTCATTTAAGTAAATACAAATTTAACTATAAATTATTAACATTTATTGAACAAGATTTTATTCTAGGAAGATAGGAAGCTAGAGTCAATCTTATCAGCAAGTATTGAATATGTGTGTGGGCATGTGTGTGTTCTTTTTTAAAAACTGGAGTGGTTTGCCATTTCCTTTTCCAGCTCATTTTGTAGATGAAGACACTGAGGCAAACATGTGACTTTCTTTCATTACTTAAAAAAAAAAACTCATTTTAAAAAAGACACACTAATCATGACGTGAATCTTAGTGCCATCACCCTTCTCTACTGCCCCAAAGAAATTAAGTAACCAAGAATCCAATGACTACCTAGGATCCTCCTTTTATTTACTTTTTTGGGGGATACATGCTGAATCTGTAGCAATTATGACAAACTGAAGAAGGTTTCTGATTCAACCAATTCCTCCTTTATTCACCTCTTCAGTTTGGTACTCTGGGTGTGGGTATGTATATATGTGTGTTGACATGAAGTTGGATAATATTTATTTGATTGTCTACGAGAAACTATGAAACTACAATTTGTTCAGAGCAATTTTTCATCTGCGTTGACAGAGGAAGTGCTCTTATTGAGAATTCCTTATACCAAAGAGCTCAGCTGGGTGGTGCAGTGGCTAGAGCGGTGAGGCAGGGTACAGGAAGACTTATCTTATCAGACACTAGCTGTGTGATCCTAGGCAAGTCACTTAACCCTCTTTGCCTCAGTTTCCGCATCTGTAAAATAAGCTAGAGAAGGAAATGGCAAACCACTCCAGTATCTTTGCCAAGAAAACCCCAAATGGGGTCACGAAGAGTTGGATAAGATGGAAAAACAAATGAACTGCCATCCCTAAATGGAGAAGATGGATTAAGTGTGAGAGTGGTGATGTGTGAGAGAAAGGGGCTAAAAGGGCTTGAATCACGGAGCTGAGTCAATTGTGGTTTTTTGCAGTACAAATTAGGGCACTTCCTATATTAAAACATTTAACAAAATGTGCAAATTGCAACCCACTTATCACTTACAATCTTAGAGAACTACCTCAGCTTCTCAAGCCTAAAAGACTAGAATTGCCCTGTGTCGCATAGCTATTAAGTGTCAGAGGGAGGATGTAGGCCCAAGACTCATTCCAAGTCCTGCATTCTATCTACTATGCTATGCTGCTGATTCAATAAAGACCATCCACATAGACCCAAATACACCCCGAAGAACACATTTGGGCAAACAAGAGAAAAGAATGATGTATGGGATACATTAATAGCTAAAGTAGTACTAACATAGTGGTATAACAAGGCCTGTGCTATTTAGTATATGGTATATGGGGATATTTACCCAGTCAGACATGGAGCTGATGAGTTTCCTTAGTGTGTTATAAGTATCGGAAGAGAATCCTATCAAGCACAGCTTCTGAGAGCTCTTATTACCATGTCTGCAACAGTTATCACTCTAATGACTGAGTCACTGCAACCTAATACTCTGCTACATCAAACAAATAAAAAAATTAAAAAGCTCAGCAATAGTCAAAAAAAAAGCTATATTTTTTTTTTCAGAAAAGCTTTCAGCAGCATGGTTATTTCCCCAAATGGTAATAAATAAAGTAATGGAAAACAAAAGTACCCAAGAAGAGGGCACTAGACAAAAACTATACCGTTGAGATCGTTTCCTAGGGCGTCCAATTTTTTTAACATAATACTCCCTAGTTATTAATGTTCATTTTGAATACTTTTTAAAAAACCGGCAAAGCATGAGTACCATGCCCAGGTCCTTTGAGGCTGTTTCCTCATGGAATACCCAATTATTAGAGACAGGCACGCAGGAAGACACACACTATAAATAAACAGCCTCTTCCTGAGCAGTGTTTAAGAGCCTCAGACTGGTAGGAGACTTCCTTCTTTAATATGTTTACTTTGCATTTAGATGAGACTGTAGGCCAAGGAGGGGAAGGATATGCTGGAATCCCAAAGGGTTCACTTAAGGTCAATTCAAGGGAAAAGGCTCTTCAGGAGAGTCACCATATCAGCTAACTCTGAGTGGGATTCAACAGTACTAGACTTTCCCCAGGTTAAAATGGATATTAAAAGCAGCCTTAAAGCCTGAGAAGTGTAGGAGGAAAAGGCAATTCATTTTAATTCAGTCATCATTTATTAAGTACTTACTGTGTGCAAAACACTGCTGGAGATACAAAGCTACATGCCACACTGTCCTGTGAGTTCCTGGAGAACAGGGACTGATGTTTTTGTTTGTGGGTTTTGTTTTTGTTTTTGTTTTTTTGTTTTTTGCCTTTCTTTGTGTGCCCTGAATTTAGTGCCCTGGCACATAGGAGGTGTTTACTAAATGTTGATTGCTGACTGACTCATGGAACTTACAGTTGAATGTAGGGACAAGGGCACAAGCGTTTATGTTATGATGAGATGTACCTGCAAAACAGGTCCAGACAAATTGCTAGAAGAGGAATTTGAGGAGAGAGAAATCATTTTCACCTGGGGGACAGCAGGCTTTGCCTTGGTGGTTTATGAGTCATATGATGCCTTACTGGCTTAAATGCAGGCCCATCCTCCAAATATAAAACACTCCCATTCCACCCACCATAAGATCGTTTTGAAAGGAAAAAATAGATACCTATATACTGAAAAATGATTACACAAATTATACAAAACCTTCTATAAAACACTTTGAGAGAAACCTGTTGTTCGCTCTAAAAATAATGGTTTTGCCTTACACAATAACTGGGAGATTAAAAATGGTAAAAATCAAACAAACAAACAAAAATTGGTAGCTGTGTCTGAGAGAATCTGAGGGCAATAATTACAAGCTTCTTTCAAGTTTTATACCAATCAAATTTGTAGAAATGTAGGACCTTGTGGATGGAACACTACCTTCAGGGTCAGGAAGACCTGAATTCAAGTTAGACTTCGATATATTGTAACTGCTTGACCTTGGACAAAGTATTTAACCTGCTTTTTGACCTAAAATCATAATCTCAGTGCCCACAGATTTCCATTGGTATGGACAGTTTTCTCATGAAGAGTTCCTTATACCAATGAAACCACCAGTCCCAAAAAAAGAGTAAATTGAGGATAATAGCAATTCAACAATTATATTATTTATGGTTTACAAAGCACTTCCCTTCCAAAGACACTGTGAGGAAAGAAGTCTTCTGGTTAAGTACTCCCATTTTACAGATAAGGAAACTGTCACATGGCTAGTAAGTGACAGAGCTGAGGACTCAGACCTAAGCCCTCTGAGACCAAGTCCACAGGGTTCTTTCCACTACAACCTCAGGGTCACTCTTCTGTGTAGAATCCTCCAATCTCTTTTTTAGCAACATTGGATGGAGCCACATGCTTCTCCATGTGTAATTCTCTCTACCCACTGTTCCCTTCATTTGTGCCCAATTTCCAGCCACAGCAGGGCCTTTGGAACCAAAATGGTCACTTTAATTCACCAAAGTTAAGATATACCTCTACTCAATTTACCATTTACCTGGGGCTTAAATGCCACCAGAGCCACTGCCACCACAATCACTGTAGTGACCAATGCTAGTCAGACCTAGACCAATCCTAGACAAGGGACTTTTGCCTACCACCAAAGTTTCATCAGTAGCTCAGGTCCAACAAAGTCACAGCTACTATGGCTATCACAGACCACCCCCTTTGAAGGGTCTCACCCACTCTCATTTGCCACCTAAGCCCTCCTCTGACTTCCAGCTCCCTTTTTCCAGTTATCTTCTAGATCTCTCTACCTGGATTTC